GTCCACACAGGTCTCCACTGGCTCTGGCTGCTTCACCTCTGTTGTCCCTCTGGGTGTTCCCTTGAGCATTACGGCTTTCAGAAATAACATCCCTGAAGATATCTCTAGGGATTCTCTGGAAGCAAAGCCCCCCAGCATGGGCACAGGTGGGGGGTCCCTCCCAGGGACCAGAACCCTGCATGTCAGGATTTCTCCTGCAAAAGAGAAATAATGGTTTAGGCTGAGCTAGCAATTTTCTGGGAAGAGAAAACTTGTTTGGGAAAAGGATAATTTTAAGGAGACTGAGACTGTTCATAAATTCAAGTCAAATTTAGAGATTACTTTCAGTCTCTGGATTCTTCCATCCTCCCCTTTTCCTTCCCCCTCCCCTGAATTATTGTTTGCAAAAATTAAAACAAAATGTTTTGGGGTTTTCGTTTGTTTAAAAAGCAATTTGCATTTTAAACGTTGCCAAAATATAAGCTTTGGGAGGGTGGGGTCTTTTGAAAGGGCAGCATTGTCATTGCTGAATGAAAACCACGGAGAGGAATTCGTCCTGGGAGACGCAGGGCGCTGGGGACGTGGTGGCAGCACAAAGATCACAACCACAGCTCCCAGAGCACAGCCCAGCCTGTACAGCCTCCATTCGTGTCCCTCCTTCCCTTCTTCCACAAGGAAAACCCTGCCCACCTTGACCTCCTTGAGGGAGTCCTTGGATCACATCCCTGCTTTCACCGGGGAGAAGATTCCGCGGCGTTTTCTCCGCCTGGCTCCAAACCGCAGCTTTCCTCTTTCCCTCTTTGACCTCGTCCAGGTTTTGGAACATCTGTGTTTAAATGAATTCTGGTTATCCAGAGCCGGGCCTGGCAGCTCAGGTAGAGATGCTCTGATGAAGCTCTGCACATCTGTGCACAATAAAGTCAGGGAACAAAAGGCTTGTGAGGTCCTTGGCAGAGTAAGAGAAAGAGGAGAGCGGGAGACAGCAGGACTGGGCTCAGTGAAGCAGCTGGAGCCAAAACCTTTCCTCGCAGAGCCCTCAGCACCCGGCCAGGTTTTGCTCATAGCTGGCTCTGCAGGGGTGTCTTCTCCACCAGGTGCAAAGCTCGAGGAACCGACCTGATGCCAGTCCTGGGAGGTGATTTTTAATACAGCCCTCACAGGCATTCATCGAAAGAAAAAACGGGTTGCTAAAGAGCCACTTGAATTCAGGGAAATTCTAACCAAGAAGCAGTGGCAGAAAATTAAAGCCAGGCCAAGTCATGTTAGGAACAAGGCAAAAGGCTTCAGCACAGCAGGGGATTAACCTCGGGCCGAGCAGAGGGAGGGCGGGAGCCGCTTCCCCAGCGCCTCTGCCCAGGGAAAAGTGGGAGCCACACACCCCGGGGACGTGCACGGATCTGGAGCTGGGCTCCAAAAGCACCCCGACCTGCTGGGCTGGCAGTGTGCCCAGGCAGTGCCCGCCCTCTGCACCTCCAGAGGGATCCCACCATGGCACGTCCCAGCCTTGCCCCACAAGGGCTTTGTGATGCCTGGCTGGGACATTTCCTGCATCGCCCCAGTTCCTGTGTCCCTGTGTGCCATTGTCAGAAGAATTGGGATGGGCATTTTCCTTCAGTCCCTGCATCCCTGTGTGCCACGGTCAGGAGAGTTGGGATGGGTATTTTCCTTCAGTCCCTCCATCCCTGTGTGCCACTGTCAGGAGAGTTGGGATGGGTATTTTCCTTCAGTCCCTGCATCCCTGTGTGCCACTGTCAGGAGAATTGGGATGAGTATTTTCCTTCAGCCAGCCCAAGCCTCTCCCACTGGCCATTCTGCAAACACACCAGGCTGCAGGCAGAGCTGCCAGCTTGTCCTGGCTGGTGGCCAGCAGTGCCCAGCACTGGCCACTCATGCCAGGCCCTCAGAGTGGACACAGGATACAGTAATTGCAATTAAGGCCACTCTCCCTAAGTTTGCTGCAGAAACAGGGGGATCAGGAGGGCTGGAAAAGCAGCCAGGTGTATGGGACTGGGAGGGAATCAGTGCCCAGCTGTTTGCAGCTGTCTCCTCAGGATCCTGGGAGCAGAGCTGGGAGGAACTCTGCACACCCCACTTATTCCTCCACATTCCTGTGCAGCTCTGCTCTGGTGGCAACAGTGGAAATGTTAGCAAAGAACTCGAGAAAATCCCCAGAGTTCTGTTTTCCTGGCTTTGCAAAAACATTTCTGCTTATCAAGCAACCCAAAGAAATATGAAGATTTTCACTCACTCTTCGTGTGGGTTCAGCTTTGAATTTTAAAAAGGGATTTGCCAATGCAATCTTGCAAAATACTCCAGTGCCAAGTCCAGCTCTCCTAAAATACAAGTTTTAGGAGGAGGTGAGCTTTCGCTCTCCTGGGAAAACATGCATTTCTGACAGATTTGAGGGAGAACTAAGGCTTCTGTGAGGCCATGCCACTCCCTGGAGAAATGTCCTTTCATGCTGATCAACAGGAACCAAATCCTGTGGTTTGTGGCACCAAAGGCAGAGCTGCTCGTGGGCCTCAAGGCTTTGAATGATGGAGATGTGCCCATGTGGTCACAATCTACAAGAGCCCTCGGACTGAGGGATTTAAATCTTTTTTCTCTGTTTGAGCTGTGTCCAGAGGCTGTGCCATGGGTCAGGTGCTGCCTTGGGGGTTAGGTGTGGCCAGGAGATCATTCCAGTGTCCCAGCCCTGTGCCCTTGGGAAGGCTCTGTCCTGAGGGTAGGAACCAGCCCTGAGTCCTGCACCTCCAGAAGGGTTTAACCCCGCTTGGTCACCTCTGTAAAACAAGGGCTGGGAATTTAAAACCACCACCTGCTTCCCAAAGGCTTTGCTAGTGCATTCTGCAGGGCAGGAATCCCCTCTGAACCCTTTCAGCGGTGGGGCCGTGGTGTGGGCTGGGGCTGCTCAGCACGTGTGGGACGAGGAGAAAGCAGAGCTGAGCCAGCTCCAGCAGGGCACAGCAGGCTGCTCTTCCTGAACGTTCCATGGACGGGGGACAGGCACGAGGGGGACACACAAGTGCCTGCTGCGTGCTCCCGTGACGCTTTCGCTGTGAAAAGTGCAGCTTCAGCACGTGTGGGACTGGGCCAGACCCCAAAGAGCCGTCGCTCTGCAGGCAGGAGCGTGTCTCGGGGCTCCCTCATGCCTCTGTCCTGTTGGGGAGATGACAGAAGCTCCTGCAGGCTGCTGGTCCCAGAGCCGTGGCAGGAATCTGTGTCCCTCATGCCTGGCAAAGGCTCCTGGGCCGCTGCTGTCACCATCAGCACATCGGGGGCTGCTCCTGCTCTGCCAGCCTTGGTGGGCATGTGATGTCCGGCCAGTCTGTGCCAGCCTTGGTGGGGACATGAGGTCTGGCCTGTCCATGCCAGCCTTGGCAGGGATGTGAGGTCTGGCCAGTCCGTGCCAGCCTTGGGGACGTGAGGTCCGGCCTGTCCGTGACAACCGGAGCAATTCCGGCGGCAGAGCACGGAGACAGCGGCTGCGTCCCGCGGGGGGCACGGGGACAGGGTGCTGCTCTCCCTCTCCCCCATGCCGGCACGGTGTCAGCTGGGGATTGTTCCCGGGAAACACTCCGCTGTCCTTTTCTGGGCTGAAATTTGATAATTGAGCAAATACGGCGTGGCTTTGTGCTGGGGGAGCAGCATAAGGTAAACAGGAAGGAATGAGGGATTAAGACGTCTCAGCGCTGAGGGAAGGTGACGAGGCCGGAGCTGTGACACCTCCGTGCCGAGGCGAGGGGCCCAGCTGTGGGCTGGCATGGCACAGCTGCATTGTTCAGGGGTGAAGAGCAAATAAAAGCCACGGGAAAAGAAAACAAGCTATAAAATTCTCAGCAAAGCACAGAGCCCCAGCAACTGCATCCTGATGGCCCCTGACAGCTCTGGGGAGAGGCGGGCGAGGGGTCGAGCTTTTGAAGTCCCAAAGTTGTCCTTTGCGAAGGCCCCCTGTTAAAATAGGCCCGGTGTTGACTTTAGGCTGCATATGGTGGAGGAATTGGACAGCTCAGTCACAGCAATCAAAGCAGGGGGGGCACGTTTTGGAATTTGGCTAACTGGGTGTCAGGCCTGTCCCAGGCGGGATGGGGGTGCAGGGGCAGAAGTGAGGATTATCAGCATGGTCAGGGCTGCAGGTGAGCGACAGAGCCTGTGGTGTGGAAAGCTGAGGGAGAAACCAGCTAAGAAGGTCTTGGAATGGTATTCAGAGCTCAAACGTGTGTCAGAACTGGTGAGAGTGGGAAAGGGGAAGGTTGGGCAGGTGATGATGGAAAGCCCATCCCACAGGGACTGAGGGGGTTCCTGAGGTGCTGGGAAGTGGGGGTCCCTCAGCAGTTTGGGGACCTCTGCACTGAGCAGTAACAACACAAAGTGAGAGTGGCTGGGAAGGGAAATAATTGGTGCTGCCATGGGGAAAGTGTTTGTGACAAAGCTGAGGGTGCCACAGGGCTCTGTCCTGTGACAGAGTTTGTGACAAAGCTGAGGGTGCCACAGGGCTCTGTGTGCTCTGTCCTCTGAGCACAGACAGGCCCCTGCCTTCCCAGTCCCCTGTAACCCCCAGCGCCAGCAGGGACAGGCAAAGCCGTAGTGAATGCAGGGCAGGACAGGGAAATCTGGTCTTGGCAACCTCGTCTTGCCCTCCAAAGAGCTGGAGGGCAATGGCCCATCCAGAATCACAGAACCAGAGAATCTCAGAATCCCAGAATCCCAGAATCTCAGAATCCCAGAATCCCAGAATCCCAGAATCCCAGAATCCCAGAATTCCAGAATCCCAGAATCCCAGAATCCCAGAATCCCAGAATCCCAGAATCCCAGAATCCCATACACATGGGCTCACGTCCCAGCACAGCTCAGGATGTGGGTGAGCAGCTGGCTTCCCACAGCCAGAGGTGCCACCAGGGCCTCCCATCCGTGACCCCCCCAGTCTGACAGGGCACAGAGGGTTGGCAGCAGCTCCCCGGGGTTGGCACCTCCCCGTTTGGGCACAGATGGTGACAATGTCCCCCCTTTGCCTCTCTCAGCCTGCAACTGCAACCTGCACGCGCGGCGCTGCCGCTTCAACATGGAGCTGTTCAAGCTGTCGGGGCGCAAGAGCGGCGGCGTGTGCCTCAACTGCCGGCACAACACGGCGGGCAGGCACTGCCACTACTGCAAGGAGGGCTTCTACCGCGACCTCAGCAAGCCCATCTCCCACCGCAAGGCCTGCAAAGGTACGGGGTCACCGACGGCGGGGCGGCAGCGCCCGCTCCTCCTTCCCCAACCCTGCACCTCTGCCCCCGCAGCTCTCCCTCTCGCCGAGCTCCTCCCGCTCCTCCCTCTCCCAAACCCCTTTGAAATTGCTTTTTCTTGCCGTTTGGAATGGCTTCTCCTGCCCCCACGTTCCCTGCCACCACCTCTGCAGCCTCCTGCTGAGGACAAGGCCACCCACATCCCGTGCCATCACCTCTCCCTGCTCTCCCCAGCCTCCTGCTGAGGACCAGGCCATGGCAATGGAAGCCCTCACTGCTGAGGAGGGCTTTGAGTTATTTCAGGGTTTATCACTTAGAAGTGGTGCTTCATCTGCTCCTGCCTGGTCGTCACTCTGCAAGGGCAGAGGGGCACAGAATCCCAGGCATGGGTGAGATGTAGGATTTAAATCAGCCTCCCCCAGGCCCCGTCTCCAGCTCCCACCCTTCAGGCAGAGCTGAGCCCACGCACAGAACTTGTCACTCCTCCGGATGAGGAGAGAACGGAAAAAGGGGAAACGAGTTTATTTTCAGCTCGGAGTATTTTGAGGTTTCCTCGTGTGGCCGTGGAGGCGAGCTGGGATTCAGCTGGGGCGGGAGCAGCGAGAAGAGCAAATCCTGCAAATGAACCCTTTTTACTCTCAGCTGCTGCTGGAACAGATGGAAATCCTGAACCTGAGGTGCAATGAAAGGAGTCAAGCAAACATTCAAAAGCCAGATTAGAAAATTCTGGGGTTTCCCACAGAAATGCTCAGCTCTTTTCTCTCTAAAGATTCATTTCAACAAGAAATGGAAAGCTTTATGGCTTCAGATAGGTATTTTTGGCTGGGAAGTTTTGGGTCTCCAGCATTTTCAGTTTTTTGTTTTGTTGGTTTTTTTTCCTTACTGAAAACAGACTTTTTTTTTTCATAGCAGAAAAGAAATCCCTTTTTCAGACAGTCCTGCTCCCCCTTTTTTGAACCTTGTAAAAACAATTCCAAGGAGATATGTTTTGATATTTCCCAGGTGCTCATTCCTGCTTTTCCCAGCTCACCTCTGGCAGCTGCTCCCCTCTCCTGTCTGTCTCTCCTTGCTGTCCCCTGGCCCTTCAGTGTCACTGACAGCACCGAGTCCTGCCCAAAAACCTGACCAGGTGACACCTGCAGGCACCTGCACCAGTCTATGCCTCAGTTTCCCCAGGTGAGCACTGAGATTCATCACTGGCCTCTGGGAGGTTTCCAGGCTGCAGGATCTGGCTTGCAGGATCATTTTCTCTATTAAATCCTCTTTGCAATCTCTCTGTTCTCCTGCTCTGCCCTCTGGAGCCTCTCCCTCTCCTGAAGCTGGTGATGGCCAAATCTCAGCTCTGCCCCAGCCACCTCTCTCATCACTGCCTGCACCCAGCAGAACCATTCTTTCTCTGTATTTTCCTCTAGAAAAGCTGACTCTTTAATCCATCACATCACTCTGATCATGCCCCACACATAATACATTTAAATAAAAGCATCTCAGAGAGCCCTGGTGCCTTGGGAGCTGCTGAGGAGCTCGTGGTTCTCACCCACCCCAGCAAGGTCTCGGGTGATCTCACAGCAAAGGCTCCATGAAAGAGCTGCCAGAGACATTTTTTCATTAATTCAACTCCATTTATTCAGCCTAAGAGACACATCCAGCTAAGCTGTGCCTTGCATTCCTCATCTCCCACTCCATCCCATGCACGAGGTGCCTTCACTCACAACACATCGAACATCAGCAAATTAAAGAGGCTGGAGTTGCATTGTTTGAAAAGGTTGGTTTGGGTAATCATGCAAAAATATGACATTGCAAAAATGCTTGCACAATCTCTCCTTCTTTTTAAGTTGGAGAAAAGGAGAATTCCACAAACTTTTACACGTGTTGCAGGGCAGGGGTGGGGCTCGGGCAGCAAAAGGGGAGCAGAAAGCAGAGCTGGGCAATACCCCCTGCCCAGCTCAGGGCTGCTTGTGTTTCCAACAGCCAAACCTTTAATAATTGATACAGAAAGGACTTTGCTAATGACCTGAAGTTCAGATCAGCAGTGCAGGTGAAGGCATGAGGAGCTGGGGTTTAAGGATGGTTTTCTCTGCCGTGCCAGGTGCTTTGCTCTGTGTTTGCTTCCAGTGGTTTTCCTTGCAAAAACGACAAAAGCCTGCAAGTTGTCAGTGGCCAGAGATGCCCTGGGACAGGGCCACGCCAGGCAGGCCGGGGCAAGGAGGCTGCGAACCACAGGCAAAGGAATTGATGACAGATGGAGCAGGGATATTGCACGGAGCGGCCGTGCTGGGTGTGTGCCAGAGCCTGCCAGGCTGCAGCTGGGCACGGAGCTGGGCATGCAGGATGTGGCTGCTCCGGGTGGGTGGTCAGGCAGCCCCTGGGACACCGAGCCAGGGCTCCCCTGGCATTCCGAGGTCAGACTGCAGCTGATCCGTGTGCCAGCCCTGGATCCTGGCCTGGAGGAGCCCGATGGTCCCTGCTCCTCCTCCAGGGGGGTGGGTGGGCTCGTCCCAGCGGGCAGGGGAGCAGGATGCCCTTTGTCCTGGCAGACACATCACACCCCCGTCCTGGGCACACCCCTGCTGTGGGGGCTGTCCCGAGAAGCAGCAAAACTCGGGCTATAAGAAATTTTCACGTTCCTTTTTTCAGACTCGGACAAGGACGAATTGTTCCTCTTTTCTCCCTGGGTTTTGAGAAATCACCAAGAGCTCCCAGCACGCTGAAGCCCTGCTTCCAGTTCCTTCTGCTTTCCCTCTGCTCCAAATGATGTTGCAAGTGAAATTCCACATCTGGGTCCTGCAAACCCTCGTCCACCCGGCTCTGTCATGGGCCGCTGTAAATCAGGGCCCTGCTGTTGGTTCTTTTGATTAAACTCCCTCCTGATATTTGCCAGATTATTGGCACTAATGTAATTCCATTGGAGTAGAGAGTCTGCAGGGTTTTATAGCCTGGCTGTAAAACAGCTCTGCACTTCAGGGAGAGGCTTTGCACACTTTTTGATGAAAAGATGACAAACGAGACGTGCTCCGAATGCGCCTGTGCTGAGGCTGCCGGCGCAAAGCCCTCGTGCAGGGGCAGGATTTGGCACCTGGAGAGGTCACATTCATCAGGGCTCCGTGTTCTGGGAGGAAATGGGATTGTCTGTGTGCCTGGTGCTGCTGCAGCCTGGGGAGCTTTCCAGCTGTGCTGAGCATTTCATGCCTTGTGCAAGCCCCAAAAAGCACTCCCAGCCTCCCTCCCGTCCAGGCCTGCGCCCACCAAGGGCCAAGACTCGACATTTGCATTTTGGAGGCACTTTGGGCTGCAGCAGAGGGAGGTGAGATCTGTCCCCACAGGCTCAGCCTCCCGTCCTGGATTGCACGGGTGCACATAAAGGGTTTTCCTCACCCAGTCACGAGCATTGAGTGGGGCAGAACCCGAACCCCTCTGGCTTTGGGGGAGCCGAGCAGAGCCCCCGGTGACGGGGACAGTGGCACCAGTCCCCGTCTCTCTGCAGTGACTATAGAGGGAGCTGCGTGACCAGCTTAGAGCCCAGAGCTCATTCCCTGGAGGCTGGGCCGGGGCAGATGGAGCCTCTCTGTTCCTGCTGCTGGGTCCCGCTGGGAACCTGGGGCACAGGAGGTGGCAGGGAACAGCCACGGCAGAGAGCAGAGTGTGAGAGAGGTGCCACTGCCACCAGAGCACAGTCTGAGAGTGGTGCCACTGCCTCCAGGGCAGAGTCTGAGAGAGGTGCCACTGCCTCCAGGGCAGAGTCTGAGAATGGTGGCAGTGCCACCAGAGGTGTCCCACTGCTGGTGTCGGCACAAGGACACCACGCTGTCCATGGTTCCAGTCCTGGTCAACATCTCTCCAGCCTTGGAGATGTCCCCTGTCACCACGGCCCCCAGCCCACAGCTGGGTGGGGCAGACAGCTCACAGCTGGAGCGTGCCAGAGACATTGGGGTGGCCTGGCTGGATCCCTGCACCAGGGCAGCAGTGCCACCAGGGCAGCAGTGGTGGCTCCTGCAGGGCCAGCAGTGACCTCATTTTCATGCCCATCTCTGATTCAGCTCAGCTGTGGTTTTAAGGCAAACTCCAAGGTGATACTTTCCAGGAATTCACCCCAGGGACTTGTCCTTAATGGTCAAACTTCCTTCCCTTCCTCTCCTCCTTGTTCTCCTCTTTGCATTCCAGCTGGAGCTTCTGTTGAGATGAGAGAGGAGCCAGCTCGTGCTGCTGGCAGGGCTTGGACTGGGCTCTTGTGTCAGGGCTTGGTCACCTCTGAGAAATCACATCCCTGGAGAAACTCCAAACTTCCCAGGCATCGATCTGCCAAGCACAACTTTAATTCCTCCCCAGGACTGTGGAGATTATCTTCCACTGCCACAGGAACGATTTTCTACTTGCATTTCCATCCTGCATTTGTCAGTGGCTGTGCCTGAGTCACTCTTCCCCACAGCCCCATAATTCCTTATATCTGTATTATTGCAAACCCTGAGAGCTGATTTATGGCCTCTGCATCTAAAATTCGTCATCACAACCCCCAGACCCACACAGACCATTGGAGAAGGTTTCTAGAAATGCACCTTTAAGCTGTCCGTGCTCACAGGTCGCTGTTGGAGCATCCTGGGGCAGCACAGGAGGCTCGAGTGCCACCAAGTGTCACCTCCTCCATGGCACTGCCACTCCCCAGGCTGGAGCTGCACCGTTCACTCGCCTGGGCTGGAAGGATCCCAGAGAAAAGAAGGGACACGAGCATTACTGAAACTCTCATGATGTTCTGAGTTTGTAGACTGAAACTGTGGAAAAGCAGAGATTTTTTTGTTCAAGTAAGACTCAAGCTCAACACAAGGTATCTCCCAGCCCATGCCAGCTTTTTAAAAATCCATTAAAATCCGCATTTTAATGATGTATGAGCAGAAACATCAAATTAGGCAGAGTGGGCAGAGTTTGCTGAGTTGTGGAATTCAGGGCAAGACACTGCTGAATCCAGGGAGCCGTGAGGAGATGGAAGAGGC